CCCATACGTGGAGATGGTGGGTCCTTCAGGTCCTACTGGTGCTCCCATGGGTGGAGATAATGGGTCCTTCAGGTCCCACTGGTGGTCCCACAGGTCCTTCAGATCCTATTGGTGGTCCTACGAGTAGAGATGTGTCCTTCAGATCCTACTGGTGGTGCCACAGATCCTATTGGCGATCCCACGGGTGGAGATGTGTCCTCCAGATCCTAGTGGTGGTGCCACAGGTCCTTCAGATCCTACTGGTGGTCCTATGGGTGGAGATGTGTCCTTCAGATCCTATTGGTGGTTCTATGGGTAGAGATGAGTCCTTCAGATCCTACTGGTGGTCCCACAGCTCCTTCAGATCCTATTGGTGGTCCCACGAGTGGAGACGTTTCCTTCAGATCCCACTGGTGGTCTCACGGGTGGAAATGTTTTTTCAGCTCCCACTGATGGTCCCACACGTCCCTCAGATCCCACTGATGGTCCCACACGTCCTTTAGATCCCACTGGTGGTCCCACACATCTTTTAGATCCCACTGATGGTCCCACACGTCCCTCAGATCCCACTGATGGTCCCACACGTCCTTCAGACCCCACTGGTGGTCCCACACGTCCTTCAGAAGCTGAAGTTGACACCAAATCACCCGGTGCTTCTCCAAGGAACAGCCACCAAGACGGGACAAGACCAGCCTGCCCAGTTCCCCCAACGCCCCCCAGTGACATCCTCGTGTCCTTCCCGTCCCCAAAGTGCCACCCCCTCCCCACCCAGAGGTCTTCCCCACCCCGTTCCACCATCCCTGGTGTCACCCCAAAGTCCTCCAGGTGAACACCAACCCCCCCAGAAGGTTCCAGTCCCTCCGTCCCTCCGGTGGGAGGCGGGCAGCGGGGTGCGGGGCGAGAACTTGGGGGAGGGGGGAGTTTAGGGGGTTGGTGGGGAAGGGGATGGTCGTGGGGTGATGCTATAGGACGCCCTCCATGAAGCTGGTGTCCAGGTGCTGGATGAGGACCCGCAGGAAGGACATCTCTTTGCGGGTGTTCTCAAAGATGACGCGGGGGTCGTCCGACTGACAGCGCAGGCAGTTGGGGGCCATCACCATGGCCAGGTTGTTGACGTCCATCTTGGTGACGGCCACGTTGGCCGGCTGCACGAACACCTGAGGGGGGCAAGGACCCAATTTGGTGGTGGGGTTGGGGGAACCCAAACCCAGGGTGGTGGTAGGACCTCGTCCTTGGTGTGGGATTGAGGGAATACAAACTTATGGTGGTGGTGGGAACCCATCTTTGGTG